TCCCCTTGCAGAGCTGAGATTCTGTATTAGCTGCCCCAGCAACAATCCAGAGAAGGATTTGGGCATAAGGGGGATGCTGGCTATAGCTACAACGTATCTGATTATATACACCAGGCAGTTCCCGCATATGATTTCTGTCTGTCTTCGAAGTCCTACCAACCTGAATACTACAATGAAGTAACATTCAGCATTTTTTCTCTGTCATTTAAACACACGCTGTATGTCCGCTTAGATGTAGATATATAAAAAACTGTGTGCATGAGAACAGGTACATATACACCTAATTCATATCTGCATGGATGTACCATATATGTATGCTCCCATGCCTTCTTGAACATTAGCTTTCCAAAAGTGATTATGGTCAATTTTTTCTCTGTACTTTTACCCACATGGGGTGGTATTTCTGAAACAGATGATGAGAAAAGGGCATTTTAGAAATGACAACTCTGCAGCAAATCATGTTCTTGTTCAGTATTATAATGTTAAACTACACCCCTGAGAGCTGCTTTGGAAAGGAAAGCTTAAATATTGTCCTCCACAAAGAGTATGCTGGAACGATAATGTTTCATAAAACATTAACATTAACACTAAAACATTCAAAACATCCTTGGATTTGCTCAATCAAAATCATGCCCTTTTATTTTAATACTAGCACCAGTGGCAGTATCAATTTCTAACTATTGCCTTTCTTAAACGCAGTTACTGCTAGCAAAACAGGGACACAGCTGAAGACAAGCAAGCTTATTTTACTAAATAATGTAACTAGTTATTTTTGATGTATTAGTCTGATTTACTGTTTCCAAACAAATTTTTCATTTTAAGTGCAAAAAGTTTATTTCTATGGTCTGGTTGATGTTTTTTCACGCATGCAAATTTTTTAGAGAACATTTTGTCTTTAGCTTCCTGTTATGCACATTTTTAAGAGCTTAATGTTTCCTGCCTCCACTTAATATGAAAGAACATTGCATGTTTCTGCTGAATGTCAATGAGATAGTTACATTACAGAAATTGTGCCTAAATGACTCTGATACTGTGACTAGGTATCAGCAGAATTCCACCCCATACTGGAAAAGAGTTTAATTAATATAATGCAACCAATATAAAATGGAATCTCCCCAAAATACAATGCAAAGGGTAGGAAACTCAACCACCAGTAAATATCGAACTAAGCAGGGCTCTCTTATTTAAAAGATAAATAAAATAAAATAAAATAAGTGTCCTGCAGAAGCTTCATAAATATATTTACAATTTATTTAGGTCAGTTAATAGTGGTTTTGTCTCATCAGGCAGGAAACGAAGCGGCATCGGCCTTTCCCTAAGCACCTTCAGTATTTTACTAACAAAGTTACAGTACATCGGAATATTTTAATCTGACACAAAGAACAACAATAGATCTGACTGCTGGGCTGATAATCTTCTTATCACACCCTGTGAAACCTAGCTCTAATATTTGACTGAGCCTCCATTACTTGGCAACACATTCTAAAAAGGCCAACAATGGAGAGAGAATGAAGTGGAGTGTGGAAGTACCTCCATATCTACATAAAAGAGATTAGAGGCGACAGCGTTCCATTTTACAGCTCAATCATATTGTGTTAGCATGCGCTTATCCGAGCGCGGATGAAATTGAAAGAGAAATAAAAAAGAGTCAGGCAGATAGGAACCAGAAAAGCGAGGCATGAGCAATTTCCAAGGATATAAAAGGATGCTAATGGCGGGGCCCTGTCATTCTTAAAAAGGGCTATTAGGGCACCATCATCTGTTCTTGTGCCCTTACGCTCCTCTAACTAAAGTCAAGCATTTCCTAATGCCATTGTGATCTTTTTCTTCTTCAGATAAGACATGGTCATGTTTCATAACAACACACTTTCCATTTATTTGATTTATAAATGCAAGGAGACTAATTCTATTTACTGATAAAGGCTTTCCATATATATTTTTCTTTCAATATTGCCTTTTGTAGATGGCATAGACTTTTTGTTCAATAAATGCAACTATTGAAATGTTTCCAATAGCACAAAAATACTAATGATTTTATGAAAGCATTTGAACTTTATATAATTTTAAAACATTTTTTGGGCTATGACTGCAATGGGAAATGGTTGGCCAGGGCAGAATGCATATTGCGTTGTTACCTTTTTATAGATAATCTCATTAAAAGATTTTCTGTTAGAATAGCAAAAACATTATTTTGGTTTCTTCCACAAAGACAAATTTTACTTTGAATTGCAATGCTTTACAGCTGAGATCTTTAGTAGTTATTAGAGCACCTGATATATAAGGGCCTTTAATTACACTGAACCTTAAGAAATCACTATAGTAAAGAAAGATTTGCTGATTGCTGCTTTGCTGTGCTAGGCACAAATTCACTACTGGTATAATTAATCGATTCCAAGAGATTTACACCAAGGATTTACTTAGTCCGCTAAGCTACAGTCAACTTTTATGCCATTTGCACCCTTTTTCTAACTCATCCTTTTCCCAATTCTCTTATGTTTCTGCCTACAGTAACATTTGTTACCTTAGAAAAGTCAGCTAGCACCAGTCCAGGGGCTTCTACAAGTTGTTTCATGCCAGACATCAGCTGAGTGTAGGCAGTCCAAGTTCAGCAGTACTCCATCATTCAAAACCAAGCTACAAAAGCTCATCACATTTGCCCTTTAGCATGTCAAGCCCTCTTGCATTTTGAATTTTGTGATTAAATGCCAGACAACAAGTACAGATTTTATCACTGCCCTCTGTTACTAGAAGGCTTATAAAAAGATTGTCTTTATTTCCTGTTTTGTTTTGGTTTTTTTTTTTAATTCTCATTCCTAAACCAAGTCAGGTGAGTAAACTTAGCTAGTGTAGCCTTACCACAGCAGGTGTGGTTTGAGTTTACCGTGTAATAAAAGGCTGCCTCATGGCAGAAAAGCTCCTCAACTGGTTCAGATTGCAGACTTTAAATTTTCAAGGCCAGTTTACAGCATCCAATACCTTTTCCATGCTAACCAAAGCCATCATTTTAAAGGCTGCTCAGTCTCATCCCTCTGCTCTTCCTACACGTCCAGCCAAATCAAAGCTATGCAGCATATTCACAAATCAAACTGAGAAATGTTCCCCTGCAACTACTATGGAGCATGACTGACTTCTTTGAGAGCTACTCTATTTTGGTTAAGGTGATACTGGTATCTTCCAAAGATGAAACTCAAACTCACCTATTTAACTCATTTTGACTTAATTTGGGGTGCTTTATTAGCAACCAGTGTAAGACGAAGTAGCTAGTATAATATAGAGTGATGTTTAAATTAGTTTACAATTTGCTTGGGCTCATCTAGAACTGCTCTGAACAAAGCCATTCAGAAATGTCAGCTGTGTTCCTAACCACTGTAACAAATTGTTGCCTGAACGCTGCACACCTAATGACTTCAAATTAGCTTCACTGCGATATTGCCTGACAGTTCGTTACGACTGTTAGCAACATAGCTGGCGTATCATGACCAATAAATTGGTTTCAGTGTGGGCTGGGAAAGGGACTTCCATCAATTTGATTAAAGAAATTACTGTAGCATTCAAAGCATAAAGACAAACTAGTTTAAGGAGACAGAAATAAGTTAACTGTACCAGAAAAGCATTGCTCCTGATACAAAAGCTTGTTTATACACCATTTGTGGCACAGAGAATGACTAAATTTCAACTGTGTCGCATACTGACTATTTTAGACTCTCTAGGTTATTGTCTCTCATCTGAAGTAAAATAACACTCCATAGATGTACAAATTGTTTTATTATTATTCTTTGTTAGTGTTCATATTTATCGAAGATGACCTAGAAGCACGTACCAGAAGAACTGAGGCCTTGTGCTGGTTAGCACAAGGGAAAAAAAAAAACCAGGAAGACTATTTCTATTTCTTTTGATACTGGAAATAAATTACATTTACTTTGATAAACAAAAAACTGACTGGATTATTTATTCTACTATTAAGGTAACCCAAAATCACATCTAAAATGAGGATGACATATTACTCAGAGGAATTAAAGGTTATCCGTTCTTATGCTCAATAAGGCTGCCCTATCAAAATTAGAAACCTAACGAGCTGATGAAAACACACCAACATGCTCACTCATCTGCTGGTCTAGAAAAATATCTTAAGAAACAAGAAAAAAAGCTGACCTTTTTTGTGTGACTTTTTTTGTGTGACACCTTTTTTGTGAAAGGTGACAGACTGAGAACCCTGGAGACTCTGTAAGTTTGTCTGCTAGCTCACAGAGCAAACACAAATACCTCAGCATTGGGGGCAAATATAATATACCTGAAATGTTATCTGAAGAAATCGCTAATCTTCTGAGAAACTGCTTTTGATGACCCCCACTCTTCTTGCTAAGGAGAGTGCCAGTCAGCTTGTGTAATATCAACACATTTATGTGATGTAGACTGCAGTCCATTTCATGCAGACCAAGGAACTACTAAGCTATAAGAAGAGACCTTTTGGTACAATTCAGTTCTTTCTGCTGAACTGCTGGCACAATTCAGTTCTCACACTAGTTCATTCAATGAAGAGAACAATTCCTCCTTGCCATGCCAAAATATAACTGAATTTTTGCACCTCCTGTGGTCAGTATAAGATAGTGCTGCATTTATATAATAGAGGAACCAGACTTAACATTCAACTACTGCTGAATCAGATGAGTATGAAGGTGAGGACTTGCATTACCCTTCATACCAGGCTAATGCTCTGGATGGAAAGGTAAGTTTATCTTACCAAAAGCAATACATGAAAAAAAATTCATTCACTGAGCAGCATGTAAAACTTATTAACATAGTAACACTTATAGCAACAATAATACTATTTCCAAGGTAAGATATATTATCGTCTAACCTATGTCCTATGTGAATCATCTGGAGCCTTAAGAAAACTTCATGCATTGTAGCGAGAGAGCAAATCGTATTTTTTACCAGAACAGCATAACCCACGCAATGATTTCTCTCTGTCATCTACTTGCAATAAATACTGTATGTACCTGGAATATGCTTAGCCCATCCAATGATCACCACGAGTTCTCTGTCTGCCAGGTCACAAAGAGTGGTAAGTGCTTTGATGTCACTGTCTGGAACAGTGGGGTCAGGCATAGCATAGATCTTCTCTGGTTCAGCCACCAGCAAATGGGACACAATCTTGTTATCTGTAAAAATGGTCCAGAACAGTACAAGATCACCAGTAGCATCATTCTACTTTTCAAACAGATGGCTCATATTTCAAAGTGCAAAAGAATTTATGTTAATATGCTGGACTTAATTAAACCTTATTGTAACACCACTGGCTTCTATCAGGGGTTACAACACAAAAAAATCTGATCCACTAACAATGTTTATCAAGGTGGACATGTATGTTCTTAAGACAGTAAATTTAATGGAATGTAGAAATACATGATGACCCCTTAATATTGGAATACAAACTTCGTAGAAAAGTATTCACGCATTATAATGTATTTTTGACTGTGCCTTCTAATTACCTGCAACCCCCCCATCTCCAAAGGCAGGTGTATTTTTGGAGCGAATAAATACCAAAAGTAGTTAAAATCTGTAACTTCTGTCAGCAATTCCAACTACCATTCTTTATTTTAGATGTCACTGTTAAAACTGTTGCAACAAAAAAGGTCTCAGGACTTTCTCAGTGCTCATTATCCCATATATCTTATATTACAGGTATCCTGCCTGTTAAAACGTTAAGAATTAATCTGCACTCCTTGGGGACTACGCTGTGAGAAAAGCGGGGTGTTGTCTTATATTTGCTTTTCAGTGAAACACACAAATTTAGAATCATGTATAAAATTAGCTTCTTTAAGTACAAAAATAGACTAATGATCTCCTCTCCCTTCCAACCAGGAATAGCTATTATCAATGAGAATAAAGAGTGTAAAACTAAGGAAAGTATCAATAGATGCAGACTCTACCTCAGAAAACTAGTCTGTGCAAAGAATGATACTTTATCATATTCACACACTGGTTATTTTTATCTATATAGCATTTTCAGTCATGTGTTTAATATTTACTTTTTCATCCAGATGATTTGTGAAATCTGTTTGGAATAATCAATTAAGTTATAAGGAAAAGTGAAGAGGAAAAAGAAAGAGTAGAAAAGCCTGGAAGATTTACAGTGCAGTGTGGCTATTCTATATTCTATAAGTAGGATAAACATAAAATGAGCATTATATCCATGTGGAGGCACAATGGAAATATCTTATCTCTATACAGGAGCCTGATTTGTTACTCTGAGAAGGCAGAACTGAAAAATGGGAAAAGGACTAATTCATTAAGCCACCTAATACAGCAGACATTACTACCTAATATATTTACATTTTACTTTTCATGGTAGGTACATCTTGTGACCTCAAATGCACCATCAGAATTTAAAGCCCAAATGGCACCCTTTAGTGAATTTACATGAATCTGTTCCCTTTGTTAGGATAAAGAGTTATGGGGCCTGATACAAACGGGATTCCACTGTGAGAAGGTGCGAAGTATTTTCTGACTGCAGAGAATGCTGCCAGAATCAGCATAATTTTCCCCTTCTGCATATAAGTCACAGGATGGACCACACTGTCCTCCTATGGGAGAGCTGCAATGGAAGCTGACGGGGATGTGACTTGCCCAGGATGTGTCAGAGAGGCTCCCAACCAGCCATGACAGATTTCCATAAAATACTCACTTGATTCGGATTTCTGATACTTTACTGCTCTTTTGTGACACAGACTACTCCTCGATTCTGATCTACTGTCCCTACAATTTTTGCCTTATTCCAAATTTGTGCGTCAGAAGTTGTGATATATGTTAGCCCTTCATAAAAGAAGTGCAAGAGCCAACTGGAAACCATCACATCAAGCATGTTTTATTACAAGGGGATATATTCATGCTTTATATGAACTATAGGAACTATGCCAACTCAGTAATTCTTGATCTCAATATTCTACTGATTATCAAACTGATTAATGAGGAATTCTATTCTTATTTAAAGATGACAGATGGTAGTTTTAACTTATATTGGCAAACAGCCTTTGCACATAATTTTTTTATTTTTTAAACAGTCTTCATATCCTCTTTAATTTCACATAGAAAACATAATCTTTTTAAGTGAGAAAAGATAACATTGCTTCTTCCCAAATTCCAATATTTTTACATGTACTGAGAAGTAGGATAAATAAATTACGAGTTTCTTAACATCGATACATATGTAGCTGAGGATTTCAACTTTGTGGTTTTTTAACTACTGATAAATGAATGAAGAAGCACTCACACCCCCAAGTTCTGGGTTTTTTCCCTGCAAACAGAAGAAATGGCCAAAGAACCTCTTTCATTTTTTTATTAGGTTCCTCACCAATGGCTTTTTGTAGATGATTCAGGAATATTGTATATTTTGACTCAGGATTCCCAAAATCTCAAATTCTTTTTATTTTTGCAATCAACAAGGTCTACGGGGGGGGCCATTAGATTCCCTGGTGAAGCTGGAAAATATAATAGAGACCAGAAGTAGGTGTAGGAAAGATCCTCCAAACACCTGTTCTTTCCCTATAGGGGGAAAAAGCTACATATATTGGACCATGCATTAGTATAGGCCATAGGAAAATTTTGATGTACTCAGAAAGCTCCATCACTCAGGAAATTGAATAGCCATGAGCACTGTTCCTAGGTAAATCTTATTTAATGTTTCCCTAATTAGAATCAATAGAACCCAATTTTCATTCCTGTGCCTTTGTTACGCACAAACTATCAGTCAGGGTCCAGAAAATCTCCCAGGCTACTTCCACGCAAAACCGATTCAACTGTTTCAAGTCTTGACACTTATCTGGCAGGATCTGAAAATTAAGTTTTATAAATGTTTGTTACAAAAATGTTTGTAATTGGATGAGCTAAGGAAAATGAAAGGAGGCACTTAGATAATGAGTAATGATTTATAAGGAGGTTAGTTTATCTCAGACAAATGGAGCTTACAGAAATTGGTGTAGTTATCGTCTTAAAGTAATGTAATGCACTACTTTGCAGTAATCTTGGGTTTACACAGAGATTCTTGTGTTTCAGTACAGCTGCGTTAACCTCTGTTCATATTACAGGGCCTGGGGTTTTGGGGTTGGGTTTTGGGTTTTTTTAGCCTGTTTGGTCTTGGCTTTTTTGTTATGCTAGGCTATCAATATTTCTACTCAATGACAATATCAAGTAAATGAAAAACTGACAATCTGTGCACCCAGGAAAACTAAACCTCTAATGAAATTAAGCATTAGAGTTTATTAAATTTTATTGTATTATCAGAAAGTTTTTATTATAATGTGCAAAATCTGCTTAGTGCAGCCCTAGATTGTATTTACAGAACAGTGGGACAGCTTATGGAGGCTGAGTAGAAGATGCCAGATTGGACAATTGAAGGAATATAATCAGCATAATGTTTTTTGGAAAGGCAAAAGGAAACTATGCCATATGTTCACTTAAGCCTTAATTTTATGTAAAACTGGCTGTTTTTTCTTTGACACAGCTAAAATGCCCTTTCACTTACAGTTCAAAGACTGTTTATTTGCTCTCCAGATCCCCATATGCTCAAACGTATTGTACACAGCACTGTCCCCTACTGGGGAACAGGAACGGAAACAAATTCCATTTTCCATACAGCCAGATATTTTCAAGAACCTAAAACTGACCTGTGTGTTGTCAGAGGCATAGGAGCAGAGGTAAATGGGAGACAAGAAGGAGTTTGCCCTCCTTATTTCTCTGGCTTATTTCTCTATTTTAGGAGTAAATCAACCTTCTCAGCAGGAGCAACTGGACGTGTGTATTTTCATTTGAATTCAGAAGAGTTTACAACACTTCCTACAGCGTGTATGCCTTTGCAGGGTAATACACTAGCCTCTTGCACTACAGCTATAATGCTATTAAATTTACTTCATGGAATTAGTACAGTTGCTGCTTGAGTTTATATAAGCTGCAAAGCAAAACCCCTAACTATTTTTAGTTAATCGCAAAGAGGATGGAACTTGTATTTTCACAACAAGATGATCATCTCTCTCTCTCTCTCAATTTCAGCCTGGTGAGATACAATCAAGGAGATTATTAAAACATAACAAAACAAAGCAAAAAAAATCCATAAGGGTACTAGAGCCCAAACTACCAATCTATGCTTGTTATTACTGTGGCATATTGCTCTTTTAATCTAATGCTAGGTAGTGTATTAATCTATAGGTATAAATTAATGAGGCTCTTAATGTATTTTCATTGGGAGGTTGAGCAGTCAAACTCATTTAGTTAGTGAAAACTACAAAAATCACTTTCTTGTGAAATCTGAAACTAGAAGCTTCAATGAACTAATGATCACAGTATGAACCATTTTATGTACCACTGAAAATAAAGATAACCTGTAAATGTAAAATTTGTACTGCATAAACCATGCTTTTATACACTTCCACCTGTAAAAATATTCTTTGTTCAACTTCACTTGAGAAAGATGAGCATATTTAAAACAAAATACGTTAACAGCTAAATTGATATAGCGTTCATGGTAATATCTTCTGACCAAACCCTTGTCCCAGTCAGAAGGAGCTTAGCAAACAGGACTAGGAGTCAATACCTTGTATTCAAAGAGAAATTTTGTGTATCTGGTGTACTCACATGGCTTTTTTGCTGGCTGAACTAGCTGAGGGTTCAGGTATGGGCTATTCTCTGCATCTATTCTGCGCTTGTACTTCTGGCGACCCCCGCGTACTCTGTCTAGGCGGACACCTACATTGGGAAAAATAAGCAAATAGGTAATTAAATATATTATAAGGATGCCTTTCAGGTTACAATCTTCTATCTCCTGCCTTCCAATATTTATTTAAAATGCATGTTCATTTCAAAAAATTAATTTTAGAAAGCAAGGGAAAGCAGCACTACAAGTATTTGCAAGCTGTTCAGATTTTCACACATGCAAGACTAAGTATACAACATAATCTCCTGTTCACTTAAAACCATTTGTTCATTTTTACATATTATTAAAAACAGCTAACAAGTTTACTTTCCATTTGTAAGAGTCTGATCTTAAGTCATCTTTGCCAGAAGCCGAAGTTCAAAGCTGTAATAAACACCATGGATACACAAGGCTAACGTTGTGAGTAGAGAATTACAGAGAATTAGAACTTTAGAAACAATGAGTGCTGTATAAAGTTTAGATACCAAAACCCAATGCTTTTAATTAACATGGATTAACATGGCCAGAGGATACAAAGTAAGTATCCTTAGTAAAATAAGAACATACATGTGGCTTAAAGACTTGAAACTGTTCATGAGGGTTTGAAAGAAATTGTATGGCTGTTCATTTAATGTCATCAATGATGAATTAACATTTGTGTTCTACCTCCATATTGTTCATTGCTTCAATAAAGCATTCTGCTACCTGTTTTGTATAGATATATAGGAGTTTACCTTCCTGAAACAAGCTATGGCTGCTCTCATAGACAAAATGAAAAAAGGAGGGGGGGGAAAAAAGATGGTAGATCCTATAAAACAATGAAGTATTTTTATTTCCTTCTGAGTCACCCAGGCAGATTTCCAGACAACCAGGATGAATGTCAGTATAAACAAGTAGTAACATAACACTGAAGTTGAAAAACTCGGCACATATGCAGGGCAGCAGGACAAGTAATACCAAGTGCAAAATTTGTCCCTGATGACATGGATTTAACTAGACAAGAATGCAAGGACGCATTACGTATCAATGATCCCTGTGAGCGATGTAATAAAGTGCAGCTCACTTTCTCACTTTTCTTTTCATTGTCTATTTTAGCTCTCCTCCCTCTATTCATCTTTTCTATTGCCATTATTGTGCCCTACTCTACTACTTCCTATCTCCCTGATCTCTCCCTCACAGGAAATACCTCCAGAACTGGCTTCTGGACAGCAGAGAAGCCACCACCAGAGAAGTTACAGTTTCTGTGCACAGCAAGAAGAATACAGCACAGAGTTTATGTGCTGCTCATGAACCTGCACTGGTAACACAGTCCAGTTACCAGGAAACATCTGTCAGTCTTTTGTTGTTGTTGTTTTCCTGTTCTGTCTCCTACTCTCCATGAGTAGGCATGAAACTAACACACCAGAACACTCACTAGCTGAACCAAGGAAGATGGCAGCTTACAGGTCCACGTCTGTACTCCTCTAGCAGCAAGGAAGGCTTTGTGTGCATGGGGTTCTCATTTGCCCAGACGGACTGTTGGTATCTATAAAGGTTAGTAACACAGGAGGTACTTGGCTTAAGGACACAAGCAATGTCTGTAACTATAATGCAGTGAATTGTATACAGCAGTGCTGAATAGTTTTTGCTCACCAGGAAAGTGGGTAATCATCACCTCTATTTAATAGTGAAATTTGATTTGGTTTACTGCAGAAGACTGTGTACTTCACTCTCTCAAACTCAAGAAGTACATTTCTCACTGTATGTTACTAATTATGTTTTTGCGAATCACATATAAATAATAAAACCAATCAACCACATACCCAAATAGGTCAGTGTATAATTATGAATCAAGTCTTATATATGGTATTTACCTATTTCACTACCAAACTTGTGACCTATTTGTAGTCTAAGCTATCTTATAAAATTCATAGTGATTCAATCACCGAAGCGTGGTTATTTTTTGTTTGTTTTTAAAGCTATACTTAGAAATGCATGAACTACAGCAACACTTTAAAAACTGATAGTCAAAAGCTTTTCAGAGCTAATGATAATTCAGTGTGTTCCAACCTTGAATCGGGAGTTTGAGCTACACCTGAAGCAAATGACATCCAGGACAATATGCTGCCATAAAAACAAGTAACAAAAGACCATGGTTTGACAGTTGAATATTCAGAAATAGGCAGAGGATTAGAACAAGCCACATGTGATATTGGTGGGATTATGAAAAAGACTGCCCAGCATTTGAAGAAAAAATAGATAGAAAATGATTTCTGCATAATTCAGATGCCATCCTTCTTTCTGCTTGGGAGCAGATTTCATAGTGATAAAAGACGGATAGCATCAGATAGAAGTATGTTTAATCAAAAAGTAATGGAACTGAAGCTTAAATTAAAATAATATAAATCTACCAAGATGAACAATTTTTTTTACCTCCTTTGCATTTGCCAAGATACACATTCAAGCCATTCACATACTCAATGGAAGGAAATAGAGATGAATGTCACAATAGCAAAATTATACATAGATCCATGTACTCACCTATCATACATAGCTATACCTATAAATATAGCTACTTTCTTTTTCAAAAAGAAAAAATCATAATTCTGAGTAACTGGGGAGTAACAGTATTACACATTTTAAAATTACCTAAATCTATAACATAACTAATTCTAATTCAAAAACATTTTTGATAACATAATACCAACATAATTTAGAACATAAATTAGAGGTTTATAAACCTTTCATTAAAACTGATATGGAGTTTACCATCATTTTGGCTCCTAAGATTTCCTTGCTCCTAGTACCGTTACAAAGTAGCGATTTTAGAATAAATTTCTGATAATCTAACATACCCTAAGTGGTATTCTAATTCCCAAGAGTCTTTATAGAAGTAAACACAATGCAAGACACCACTTAAGAGAGTATACCCATCTGATATTCCATAAAAACTTGAGTTGGGGGGGGGAGGCAGCAAACTGAAATCCATAGGTTCCTGTGTATATGCATGCATTTTCCCTTGTGAATCCTATAGCTTGTATGAGAGAATTCATTACATAAATATATTTTTATGTGCTCTCAAGACAGTAACAGCTGATGCCTTCTTTGTTGGAAAAACAAAAGGAAGAAAGAAAAACAATTTTGTTCACAAAAGATCTTCATTTGGGGCAGAAGGGGCTTAACATCTTGATCACAGAGGTAATTGCTGTAATTCAACACATACTCTGTACTCAGACTTAAAGAGGATATTGTGGCATCTAGCTATGGTAGAGAGGGAAGTTAAGTAGACCTCTGCTTTAACTCTGCTGTGCATGTGGCTTGCCAGAGTCTTCAGCAACTCCATTCACTCACCCTATCAGTCCTCAACCACAAAGTGAAAAGAAAGATATCTACCTCACCTACATAAATTCATGGCACATCTCCGAATGAATTGCACTGTACATATTATCATTACAGGTTTTTAGGGTCAAAACATCCATAAATGTCACTGAACAAAGCCCCATTGAAGACATGCAAGTTGATTCTCTGCATTCCTCAACACTGAGTTTCATTTCAAAATTCTTCAACAGAAAAACAAAACCAAAAGCTCAAACAAGAAAAACAGGGATGACCACAGGGTATCTTATTTGGTACAAATAGAAATAACAGGCCTGCTACCAGTTATGATACGATTTCAACATTCAAGTATAACACATTCACTTTACACCTTAGGACAAGTACAACTCACGAGCTCACCTCCTCAGGAGTGATGGGCAGTCACGTTTTGACATAATTTACAAAGCTCAGAAGATAAGGATTAGACTAGAACTGTAATATATGGAGAGCTGGAAACTATGTAAATCAATGCAATAACTACTTTTTTAAAAATAAGGCAATTATACATACTAATCCAACATAAGAATTTCTCCAGGTGGCCTTAACGAAAAAAATAGCCTCATAGTTACTATACAAACTTCTACAAAAACGGTTCACCTCCAGGTTCCTCACACAATCTTTCCATGACTTCTATCAATGGTTACCAACACATAACAAAATTATATTGGGCACTTACTCTAAAGTGAAAGTGTCCACATAGTCTTGCACAGAGATAACTGAAGACTAGAGCTGATGTACACAATGAGCTACCCACCAGGTACTTCAATCTAAACAAACTTAACATAGGCAAACCTGAACTCTTCATGTCCTCTGTACTTCCTCATCTGTTCTTCCCTCACCAACCAACGCAAATTATTATTCCTTTTCTGTAGTCCTTTTCTCACGCTGCCTTGAACCCTTGGTGTGGGACAGGCACCCCACTGTGACTGGTGCTATCTAATCAAAAAGATTGCCCTTACCCCTGTATGGCATTCTTTTTGCAATTCAGGTCCTCAGTATGATAATCATATTTAACCGTCACCTATTTTTTCCATACAGATCCAAGCCATATCCAAAGTATACTATTTACTCCTTTATAATCCACCTTTCTTCCTGTTTTCCATCCTCTCCTTCTCACCTCAGCTACAAGTCTCCAGTGTTCATTTGCCCACTTGTCCCACAAACATTCTTGTCCTTTCCATGGAGCTCTATACCCACAGGAAATCCCCAGGCTAACTTGGAAGGCATTGGTCCAATCCTTCAAATCAAGACCTACCATACCAGGACTGCCTATAAGAAATTGCTTAGTACCTGTAATTTGGGTTAGCTTTTTATTTTGAAAAAAATAAATCCAATTAACTTCAATATGAACTAATATCTGAACAAATCAAAACTTCCTCTCTTCCTTCCAGTACCTCAGTAAAGAACAGGTTTGAGATCAGAACCAAACCCACAATTTTAACTTCTGAAGGAAATTTCAAATTCTGTTCCCTGTCCGTCCCTGACATGACAGATTTATGGCAAGCAGACACATGCTACACTGACGCTGTTCTGGCAAGCTCCACTTCTAACACAGCACTCTATATATACTAAATTTATTCCTAGCTCAATTTTTGAGATATATAACTGGGTAACAATCCTTTTTCTACAGACGTCTGTAAGATTCCCAGCACTGACTTAAATTTTACAGTGAGACCAATAAGAATGGATACCCACATAA